TGGTGTATAAGTAGATGTAGAATGCTTAGGGTATGTGAGTGCTTAACTCTACAAGATAATACCAAATTATCTTCTGTAGAGTATATCAGTTTAAAATCCCACCCGCAGTGTGAAAAATGTCTTCTTGATGCACATATCTTCATTAGTATTGTCATATTTTATAATGTTTCAATCCATTGAATGTGAAATGGTATTTATTATGCTCTTAGTCAAACACTTATGAGGTTAAAAATCTTTTCACGTGTCCCGTTATATCCTCTTGAAATACCTCGTTTCTGTCTTCTGCTCATTTTTCTACAGAACAATGATGAACAGCGATGGTGAAAATAACACACTTATGTTCCTGATTTTTAATATATACAACTTAGTCATCATGTGTTATCCCTTTATATATGTTGAGTTCAGTTTAATAGTGCTTTTTTTTTTTTTTTTAAAGATGACTGGTAAGGGGATCTTAACCCTTGACTTGGTGATGTCAGCACCACGCTCAGCCAGTGAGCGAACCGGCCATCCCTATGTGGGATCTGAACCCGCGGCCTTGGTGTTATTAGCACCACACTCTACCGAGTGAGCCACGGGCCGGCCCTAATAGTGCTTTTGACTTTTCCATGTGTCAATAGGTGCTATTAGCCTCCTTTCTCCTACTGAATGTGTTTGATTTTAGTATCAGTAAGTTATACTGGCCTCATACAATAAGCTGGAAAGTATTCTCTCAATATATATTCTTTAAAAGAGTTTGTGTAAAATGTTGAAATAGTAAGGTTCTTGAAAGAGGGGTAAAGCTTACCTGTAAACCTGGGCCAAGTGTTGTCAAAAAAACGTTTAATTCTTACTATTCATTACTATTAAGATAAGCTTTTGTTTCTTCTTGAGTTGATGTAATTGCAATTTTTAGAGGTTGGCCTGTTTTGTCCAAGTTTTCAAATATATTAGCATTAAGATGCTCCTGGTAACCTCTTATCTTTTTCATCTCTGCCTTATCTATGGGCTAGGACCCCTTTTTCAATCTTTATATTGTTTACTTGTGCCCAACAGGCACATAATGCACTCATTATGCATTCAATTGTCAGTTTGATTGTTTTGTTGAAAACAACTTTCAAGTTGTGATTCTATATCTTTTTTTTTTTTTTTTTTAAAGATGACCGGTAAGGGGATCTTAACTTGGTGTTGTCAGCACCATGCTCACCCAGTGAGCAAACCGGCCATCCCTATATGGGATCCGAACCCGTGGCCTTGGTGTTATCAGCACCACACTCTCCCGAGTGAGCCACGGGCTGGCCCCAGTGATTCTATATCTTTTTCTAATTGATTTATTCACTTCCTTGTATCTTATTTCCACATTCTGTTTATTCTATTGTTCTTTTCCAAACTCGTTACAATTTTTGTCTTTTCCCTTAACTTAAGCATTTTCCCTTATGCTTAACTTAAACATTTAAAGCCATTTCCCTCAAAGTGGCTTCTGCTCCCTCAATTTTTAAAATACACTACTTATAATTAGGTTCTACATATTTGCTTTCTTTCATCTATAAAGGTTTTTTTTATAACTTGCAATTGTATGATTTTAAAAATTTTAACCTTTATTACTGACCTCTACTTGTTTCTGATTATCCATTCAATACCAATTATTTGAAATTTATTGATTTACTTCATGCTTACTACATGGTCAGTTTTTGCTAATATATAGTGCTTAAGAAAAATATTCTCTAATTGTTGAATGTTATTCTAAATACATCCATTGAATTAATACTGTTGACAACATTATTAAAATGTTTCCACTCATTGTCTGTTTGATTTATCAGCTTGTTGAAATCTCCCACTGTTCGGGGCCGGCCCGTGGCTCACTCGGGAGAGTGCGGTGCTGATAACACCAAGGCCACGGGTTGCTTTAGTCCTATAATACATACATTTTGAGGTCACTTCCTAAGGTATTTACAAATAAAAAATTGTTAAATATTCCTAGTGAATTGATCCTTTTATTATTTTTTAATGGCCTTCTCCATCTTTAACAACATCATAAGGTATAATTGTGATTTAATATCACTAAAGCTACATGAGTTTTATTTTGGTATTTGCCTAACTTCTTTCATCATTTTAATTTTCAACCTCCCCATGTCTTATATTTTCGGTGTTTTTCCTTTAAACAGACGATAATTGGGTTTTTAAAAAATATGATCAATGTCACTCAATTGCGTAATTGTCTATTCCTTTATTTTAATTATTAGTATTAGACTTTATCTTAATTTCTAATTTTGCCTCCCCCCCCCAATTTTGTCCTTTATTTGTACTGTAAGTGCATTCCTATTCTGTATTTTAAATTTCTTTTCCTTTGGAATGATTCATCCCCCACCTATTCTTTTAGCAGTTGCCCTTGCAGTTTGACTCTACATACTTAACATAATCAATTGAAAATTAACCAGTACCTTAAATAGTTTTCTGAACAATAAAAGTAACTTGGAAAACTTTAATTCTAACCACTCTCCTCCCATCTTATAAGCTACTGTCCAGTTTTTCAATTTTCATTTTAAAATTCCACATTATTAACGTTGCATAACAATGTTAGTTTGTTTACAATTTTTTATAAACACTTCTTTCATCATGTTTTATGCAAACACTTTAAATTTACATGTTGGTCATTTTATTTGCTCCCAAGTTCTTAAATTTCAGATCACTCTTTTCAAATCATTTTCTTTCTTGAAGATCATCCTTTTGTAGTTTAATAGGTCTGTAGATAATAAAATCTATTTTTCATCTGAATGTGTCTTTGTTTTGCTTGGTGCAAATTCTAAGACTAATAATTTTTTTTCTCAGAATTCTGAAGGTATTATTCTACTATCTTTTGGGCACATTGTTGCTATTGGGAAACCAACTAAGTATTTGATAGTCTTCCCTTCATTGATAATCTTTTCTCCCCCTTTGGTTGCTTTTTAAATCTTGTGTTTGGTACTATGCAGTTCACCACTTTTGTTCTAGCAGTGGATTTTATTTAAATATGTGTTTGGGATATATTGTGCTTTCTTAATTTATGAATTCATGTTTTTCTAACAAATGTAAAAAACTCTGTTCTCTCTCAAATATTGCCTCCTCCATTCTTTGTATTCTCTCCTCCTAGTACACCTAGTCATTATAGTTCTTCCCTCCATATCTTGTAACTTTCTAATATTTTCTAGCTCTTTGTTTCTCCTTGCTGATCGATGGGTAATTTCTTTAGATCTAGCTTCTTGTTCACTTGTCTCTTCAACTGATCTAATATGATATTCGGTATGTCTGAGGGTTTCTTTTTTCTTATTTCAATAAATATATTTCTCATTTCCAGGAGTTCCATTTAGTTCTTTTTTAGATCTGCTTGTGGTTTCATCCTTCATCTTATGTTGGTGATGAGTCCTTGGAGAACTGAATTCCATGTTTACTTTATAGGTTCTTTCTCACGGTAGCTAGTTTTAATTTGTACCTGGTGACCTCTAGTCATGAAATAATATTACTTGATCATAATCAATGAAAACTTTGGGCCTAAATTAGGAATGTTTCCCCCTTGTTTCTGCCAGGAGCCAGAGTACTACAAAGCGAAGGCCACTTAACCTTCTTCAACTGTCCTGCCTAGAGCAGCATCTCTGATTCAGATCTCTTTCCTAATTTCAGGTTCAAAGCAAACTGCATATGGCAGTGCTACCATTGTTATTTGCCATTGGGCAACCACCATAGTCCACCTGCATGCTTAATATAGTATTCATGATTCCCAACTTAAAATGTGTTAATTTTTTGTGGGGAAGGAAGAATAGAGGTATGGTTCTTGGAGATTTCTCCTACTTCCTTTGAGCCTATTCAAAAGTAGGTTT